TGCCAGCCATCATATCTGTATTTCTGCAGAAGAAAAGGATGAACATAGCCCACACCTACTCCCCCACCCTCAACCCAGCACCAGATGGCAAGTCTTCCCCCTGGGACACCCGAGATCTCCAGCCCAGAGCACAATGCCTGCCCCTGGACACTGTTGGCTTTTTGTGTATCAGACTTTGGGGGTACCTCAGGCTGGTGATGTGGGCCAGCAGGACGCTGCCACACGGTGTGTGTCTACGTCCCATAGGCTGCACGGGTGCCCTGGCCCGAGAGCTGTCCCGGCAGTACCCGCGTCTGAAGGTGACCGTGGTCGACCTCCCAGACATCATCGAGCATGTCTTCTGTTTTCAACGTGATGGGCCAGAGATGGCGCGCGTCAGGTTCCAGGCAGGTAAATGACCCTTTGTGTATTAACATCTTACCAGGCTACTTCTCTCTTGGTGTAGAGAGAGTGTGTGTGTGAGCACGTGTGTGTGTCTCTGAGCGTATGTACACGCCTGTACCTCTGTGTGGCTGTGCACGTGTCATGTGTGTCTCTGTGTCGGGTGTGTGAGTGCTGACAGGAGGGCGAGGCCCATGGGGATGGGGACACCTTACATCAGTGTCCATGGGCACCTCGGACTGACCAAGGCCACAGAAGCAAATGAGCCACGAGCTATAACAAGGAGGTCTCTGGTGAGACTCCAGGAAGAGCGTCCAGGTATCAGCTGTCAGCAGCAGAAGGAAAGAAAGGACACGCCTGACATCCTGGAGTCGGTGCCTTCAGGCCACGGCCCTGCCCACGGTAGAGGGGCCGGGCACCCTAGTGCCCCTTGACAGTCCTTGCTGCTTAGATAAGAGGAAGTCACCGTACAGCTCCCTGACTAGGATTGTGGTGACAACCTGGCTGTGCATTTGCCAGATGTGTTGAAGCAGAAACACCCTAGTTTAAAGACACAGACACTCCACGTCGCTCGCGAGGAGGCAGCGTTAGACTCCAGCCCACAAACTGCCACCTGTGTTCCTTCCCTCCCACTCTGCACGCACCTCACCTGCTCTGACCCGTTCCTTCCCATCCACTCTGCACGCACCTCACCTGCTCTGGCCCGTTCCTCCCCATCCACTCTGCAGGCACCTCACCTGCTCTGGCCCGTTCCTTCCATCCACTCTGCACGCACCTCACCTGCTCTGGCCCGTTCCTTCCCATCCACTCTGCACGCACCTCACCTGCTCTGGCC